CAGCAGCTCAGCCTTTAGACAGGTGCAAAGCTACGCACCTAGTAGCCCTCCCGGCTCACAGCTTCAGCGCTTTCCTTCGGGTCCGGGCCCTTCGGGTCCTCCCTGTGGCCCCGGCACCAGCCCGAGCCGCCCCTGCCCTCCGTGGGCCCTCACACTGCCCACCCCGGAAACCCAGGTCCTCCTTCCTCAGGGACACCTGCTCCAGGGCTGCACCCAGTCAGACCAGACCCCACTGCTACCTGCCGGTCAGAAGGCGCCAGCTGCACCTTGCACCCCCCTCTCTTCCAGTCCTTCTCTCTCAGGGTGTACTTTAGCGTTAGCATTTCACCACGTCAGCTTCCCAAGTGCTCACACCCCTAAGGCATGCTGAAAAGGAAAGGTTTTTAAAAAGAAATGGCCTATATGTCAGCACACAAATGGATAAAGCAAATGTGTACACACACACACACACACACACACACACACACACACACACACACACGGAGTAGCACGCAGCCGTAAAGAAGGATGAGCCTGAGTCATCTGCAGGAAAATGGATCCCTCTAGAGACCATACAACTCAGCAAAATATATCAAACACAGAAGGTGAAATAGCGCATGGTTTCCCGAAGGGGAGAAGGCCAGAGTGTAAGTTATTTACAGAGCAAAGAGACACGGTAGGAAACAGGGAGGTGGGCCTTTTGCAGATAGGAGGGGACCCGGGCTTGGAGGGGGGAGAGGGCGAATGAGGAGGACTAGAGTGAGGTGTGTAGGGACCAGCACCCCACTACAACTGTATGCATTCCCTACTGCAAATACGCACTGATTTAAAAATGTATGAAGGGCAGGCAGCACAGCATTCATTTCCATGCAACGCAGGGCCCGGGAGTTCGGCCCTGGGAGGCTTCCCTGGTCTCTCCCGTCACAGCTGAGGCCCGACAGCCCCATGAGCTCCCTTACAGATCCCCCAGCTTTGGACTCTGCCCTGCTCTGAGTCACACCTCTCCGCGGACCTGTCAGCAAGCAGGCGTGCCCTCCTGGAGAGCAAGATGCTGTGTGTGCACCCCCAAACCGAGCCGGCGACATAAATGCCCCTTGCAAGGAGGGGGCTCGGATGCCGGCGGCCGATGCAGTCACTGCGCCCTCCTCCGGCGCATGCAGGACGCCCTGGCTGGGCCTCGAAGCGTCGGCGCGGTCGTCCCATGGATGTGGGGCAGAGCCCTGCACTGCCCGAGCCCTGTGGCCGCCCACTATATGGCAGGGACAGAGGGAAGGTGAGGCTGGGGGTGCGCTGTGACCCCGGCTCAGCACCCAGCATTGCAAAAACACATGCTGAAATAAAATAATCCAGGGTCAGGGCGTAAAGACTTCTTAACGCATGGGATTGGAAGAGTCAAGTGCTCGTGTTTCTGCTGGGCCAGCCGGGGGCTGCACAGAGACGGGTGCTGTGAGGCTGCGCCCTCGGGGGCCGCCCGGCCTGGCTCCCCCCGGCTGACCCGAAGGCGGCTGCTTCCGAGAGCTGCTGAGGAGGGATTCTTAGACACCCCAGATGGCAGTGAACCTGAGCTCAGGAGGAAACCACACAAATCCACACCGGCCCGGCCGCCTGGAGGGAGGTGTAGGCCAAGTCCATGCTTGTCAGGAGCAGCAGCCGGGACCTGTCCTCCTTACTGTGGGATTCAGAACCGTTGCAGGGCTGTTACTACACCTGCTGTTGGTATGGCAGCAGCTGCCGTGAGGAAGCCGTGTGTGACCCTCACAGACACCCAGACGCAGCCCCAGGCCGGCCACAGGGCCACACGGGAGTACCAGGGGCCACAGAGCGAGGGGCGACAGAGGACCTGGGCCGGCCTCTGCGGCAGCTCCCCAGCAGGGGTATGCAAGAGTGCAGAGGGGGCACAGGCTGGCTGCGGTCATGGGAGGGTCTGGGCCGTGACTGTCTACCGCTGGCCTGTGGCCCTGGGCTGGTGATGCCCGGGGAACTGTCGGTGGAAGCACAGCGCCCGCTCAAGGAGGTGACTGGGTTTGGGCTCAGGTGGCTCACGTAGGAAAGCCTGCTGAGGTGCAGTCCGGTAAGGCGGTCAGCCAGCCCTGGGAAGGGCACTATCGCAGGGTCAGCAAGGCCCTGATATCAGAACATCAAAAGTACAGGACAAAGTCATCCTGTGTGGTGGCGTATGCTGATGACCCCAACACTCTGGGAAGCTGAGGCAGGAGGATCTCAAATTCAGACCCAGCCTGAGCAACTTAGCAAGACCCTGCCACAAAGCAAAACAAAAAAGTGAAAAGAGCTGGAGCTCAGTGCAGAGGTCCTAGATTCAGTCCCCTGTACTGCAAAACAGGAAACCCAGCGTGAAAAGTGTGTTAATATAAGCACTCGCTCGGATCCACGTCATGGCGCCCTCCCTGAGCTCCTGCATAAACAGAAGGGTCTGGCGCGCACGTGAGGCTTCTGTGCCCGCACCCTGGAACTTGATGGCGTGTGCGGTGAAATTGACGGTGGGAACCAAGGGACTGTGGCATGCTTTTCTTCATGACCCCGCCATTCCCCGGAGCTGTGCCCGGTTCGGAGTTTCAGACTTTTGAAAGAAGCGAAGGAACTAGAGGGGATCCTGAGAAGAAATACGAGAGGGGACAAACGGCCATGAGGACAGGTGACAGGCGCTGCGGGGGGTCTGCACAGGTGACGGCCCGAGACGGCCAGGCGGACCCTGTGCTGGGTCCATTGAAAGGAAGAGACCGAGGGCGGCCGCTCTCCATGGTGACGCTCATCGAGCAAACTGCGAAGGCCTGACTTGCAAGCCAACAGAATCCAGCGCCCACTAACAGAGCCGCCGACCCCTGACGAGGCACCTGCGGGGATGCCAGGGAGGGCTAAGCGGTGGCACCGGGAGGCGCAGGACAGAAAGCGCCCTGCCGCCCCCGGGGAGCGTGCCGCTCGGGCCGCTGCACACACCTGCCAGGTGACCTCGGAGTATCTCTTTCCAAGGAGCACCGTCCCCCTGGCATTTGTACATTCTTCAGTTCTCTCCGTTCATCCCCAGAGAGAGATTCACGGCTCCTCACTTCCTCTCCACGGAGGACAAGGACACACAGCCCACAGACGAGGACTGCGCTGAGGGAGAGGGCGGGCTTGGTGCGGGATCCACGTGAAGTGCAAACAGAGTGTGAGCCGCGGGGGCCCCGGCCGTGCCCGTGTGTAAGTTAGCGAGCAGCTTGGCAGAGCCCGGGAAGGGGCGGGAGGGTCCTGGCCCGCAGTTCCCGAAAGCAGAGACCTGGGGACCGAGGTCACACCGTGTGCATCGTCCTGGCCCCTCAAGGCCCCCGGGACCTGCACGAGGACCCAGGGGTGCCGGGTGTTCTTCCCATGCCTCTGTGCCCCTCCGCTGGGATAGCGCCGGAAAAAATCAGAAAACAAACAGAAAAAATTTTAATCGTCGGGGACCCCACCCCGCAAACCCACAATTCTCATTTGGGGTCTAACTTTCCAACGTTTCTTCCAAGTTAAATGTACGGGTTCCTTTTTTAAAAACACTATCCTGTTTAGCTCTTTAGCTGCTTTTTAAAAATTCACAGTACACATTTTTATCACCTCTTTCTAATAGTAACTGCGTCTCTGGAAAACCATTGGCTAGCAGGGGCTGAATTCCACCTTCGGGGTTTACAGTGGGACTTTCAGTTCACGCACGTTGGACACAGAGGATCCGTCTAAATTTTTTCGTATTTTAGGTAACACCGTGAGGAACACCCTTGTAGGCTGATCTAGGTCATGTTTTTGTTTGTTTATTTGTTTGTTTTTTAGGTAATGTTTTAATGTTCATTTTAAGCTCAGTGGTAGGCCTGTCTCTAACGATTCTGACACACCTGCTAAGTGGACCTCTGGAAATCCCCTCGGACGGGATGTCCTAGCGCACTGTGGGGTCCCCGGGCCCAGATGCTGCCCTGTCCCCTCATGTCCCCCCCACTGGGGCCACCCACCTTCACCATGGCAGCTTCGACGGTGTTCATCCCTTGGTACCCTTCTTGTGTCTGCATGATCAATATGACCGTAGTTACCTTATTTTTCTTCTGTGTCCTGCCTAGTTTAAAGCCACTGAAAGGTAAGCCAACAATAACAAGGTGACCCAAGCCCCTCGTACATTTGCAGACTGAGAAATACGTTTCTAAGGAATGGACAGGTTTAAGAAGATATCTATGGAAAATGAGGACACATTTTCAAGCATACGAGAATGAACATAGCAAAGCCTATGGGTTGCCGGTGAGACATACCTAACAGGAAAACTTGTAGCTGTACAAAAGAATGAACACTGACAATCAGCGAGCTGAGAGTATAGTGCTGAGAGAGTTAATGCAACAAAAGTAGAATTCTTGAGGTCTCTGTGTAGCTCCTTGGGAACCTAGGTACATCCTCTCATTCCCAAAGCGGTGCTTAATGTGCAAAAGAAACTTAAGCAACAGAAGCTGGGGTCTGTTAAATGTTGAAGGCCATGACTCTGAGCCCTGGTATTTCCAAACTGACCCGGATTGAGGAGTGTTTCCCACCCCGACTCGATCCCCGATAATCCATCGAGCATACCAGGATGGCTGTATGGGTGCATTTGTCCCCTAACCCTGGAACCCTGGAACCCCAGAACCCCAGAGGAATATTTGTGTTTCTTGTACTAAAAATATTTGGGGGATAAAATTTCAAGGTAAATCCCTTTAGATCATCCCATCAAACTCACTGCTTTTGGTCTTTAGAAGCCAAGGACAGGAGCCGACCTCGGGCCTTTGACATAAGCAACTGTCTTGAAGTGAAAGAAAGTTTTGCGTGTGTAAGGGATGGAGGCTGGGCTCTGGGGATCACTTTTACTCGAGGAAAAAGAAGTGAGTGTAATTTCATTAATGGTCTCCTGGATGGTGCCGCTACAAGTTTAATTCTCCATTAAATATTAATGCCGCTTAGCCCTTAGCACATTGCCTTTCGCCTCATACCCGAGGAGCTGACACTAACCTGTTTTATATTTTATAACCGAATCACAGGGCTTTTTCAGGAGAAGTCAGCAAAGCAATGCCACCTACTCCTGTCCTCGTCAGAAGAACTGTCTGATTGATCGGACCAGTCGGAACCGCTGCCAGCACTGTCGGCTGCAGAAGTGTCTCGCCGTGGGCATGTCCCGAGATGGTGAGCTGCACAGTTTGAGCAGCATGGTGGCCCCGGTGTCTGCTAGGATAGGCCCCTTCCCCGCCCGGCTCCTCACACAAACCACGAGAGGCAGCAGAGGGCTGGTGGGGAGCTACAGAAGAGGAGGGTCTGACACTAAAATGACCCTCGGCCTTGCGACACTCTAGACGTGACAGGTGGATGCACTGCCTGAAGCTGGGTGTCATCTGGGAAACCTACGCTTCCTACAAGCAGTTAGCCCCACAGGAAACCCAGGCCAGCAGCAGTTCTGGCCTTACACTAGTACGTTTACCAGCAGGAGGGATGAAGCAGCTTTGTGCTACGGGGATCATTTGAATCCCAGGCCAAAGTCAAATATTTGTATGCACAGGATGTGTGAAAATAGTTCCAGTGCTCACTTCACTGAGGGGCTCTATTTTAAGGCCTAAACACTATCTTCTGTTCAGTTACAGACATTTCAAGATCCTCCTGGGAAACTATCTCAGGTGCCCTGAATAATCAACACCAGATTCCAAGACAGTTATTCTTATACAGGGAAACTGGGCAGGAGGTACAGCTAGTCCGTTTCAGGGATTTTTTTTTTTTTTTTCAAATATATCAGCTGCTGTCTTAAGAGATGCCTTTGAAGGAAACTGTGCCATGGAGGGAATGTCAGTCTGTGGGAGGCCTGCCTTCCCCTAATCCGATGTTCCTAGGGTGTGGACCCAAGGGGGACAGGTTCGCCTCGGTTCCTATATAGTCTGCATGGCCACCCGTGCGCCACTATAAAAGTTTCTGTCATCCTAAGACTTAAGTCACAGAACTTACACTGTATTCTCAGAAATTCCTGAGACACACAATTCAGTGGTTCATCTTACGATGACACCGAAGTGAGAAAATTAGGTGTATTCCTTATGTGTTAAAATCACTAGTTCTCTTATGAGCTAAAGTCACAAGTTGTGTGCGCATTTTCTCAGGAGCTGACCCTTTTTATTTTACTCTCTGGATGATAAGATTACTTCTGTTGATGTTTAAGTTAAAACATAGGCGTGGAGTCACAGCAGAGTAAATTTCACCTCTGGGTATGGATCCCCTTGGGTTTCCTAGAGTAATCGCTTCAAATAATGAAGCTCCCTAAGTATACCTTCTGGAATTTTTACACAGAAGAAATAACCCAAGCTAGGTGTGGTCATGCACACTTACAATCCCAGCTACTCAAGAGGCTGAGGCAGGAGGGTGGCAATAGAGAAGCCCAGCTGGTCAACTGAACAGGACCCTGTGCCAAAAAATTTTTTTTTAATTTTTTAAAGGGCTAAGGTTGTACTGGATGTGAACTTAGAAAATCAAGTTCTGGCATTTTAGGACATTAATGCTGAAGTTGTCCTTAGGTGCACACCCCGTTTTATAAAACAAGTTCACCTGAGGAATGTGCTTTAACAATTGTTGCGAAGTAATTCCTCTCAAGGACAAGGATCATGGTCTTTGCTGTCATTACCAAGTTCTTTCCTTGTTTCTTTATATTTTTCTTTTTTTTTGTTGTTTTTTTTTGTTGTTGTTGTTGTTGTTTTTTTGAGACAGGGTCTCGCTATGCAGTTCAGGCTGGCCTCTAGCTCACTTTGCAGCCCAGGCTGGTCTCGAACTCGCAAAGATCCTCCTGCCTCAGCCTCCCAAGTCCTGGGATTACAGGCATGCACCACCACGCTCTGCCCCTCTTTGATTGTTTTTAAAGTTTGATCCCCACCCCGGTTTAGATCTGAGGCAATTTTCTGATCCAAATTATTTTATCAAACACTCTTTTTTGAGGCTTTAGTAAAAAGGATTATATTTCTTTTTCTAATCTAGGGATGTAGAAATGGACTATAATTTTATTCACGTTCAAGTTGGTTGCTTGAGTGTCTTAAAGAAAAAGGTTGTTTTTGACTATAGGGGTCAACATGGTAAAACCATTTTTGAGATGGTGATGTAACAGTGGAGAAGCTACAGAATCCCTGTGAAAAGAAAGCTGGGTGAAGGATTCACTCTAGGTATCACAGGGTCAGAATAACTTTAGCACTAGCTAGAACTGTTTTGAGTTTTTTGATAATAAAGAGATTTCCATTTAAAGAAAAAGAAGGAGCCGGGCGTGGTGGCACACACGTGTAATCCCAGCACTCAGGAGGCTGAGGCAGGAGGATCACTGAGAGTTTGAGGACAGCCTGGGCTGCAAAGTGAGCTAAAGGCCAGCCTGAACTGCATAACGAGATCCGGTCTCAAAAAGACAAAAAAGGAAGAAGGAAGGAAAGGGAAGGGAAGGGAAAGGAAAGGGAGGGGAGGGGAGGGGAGGGGAAGAGGAGAAAAAAAGAAAAGAAAAGAAAAAAGAAAGAGAAAAGGGAAAAGAGAAGAAAAGAAGGAAGGAAGGAAGGGCTAGTGCTGTATACCTCAGTAGCAGTGCACTTGCCTTAGCATGCAGTAGCCTTGGGCTCAATCCCCAGTACTACAAAAATAAAAGAGAAACAAAGGAGGGGGAAAGACAGACAGAGACAACAAGAACAAACAGTCTGTGGGTACAGAGAGAATGTGGAGGCTCACAGAGTCACAGTCCTGAAATTCAGAGCCCACGTCAGCCCTCAAAGCAATGCCACCTAACGTCCTTACCAGACTGGTAGAAAATGGCAGCTGACTTGCCTTCCCCGTTCCTTTGCTTTCCCTGTGCAAAAGGAGAGCACAGGACTCCCCTGGGCGGGAGGAGGAGGAGGACCCACCTGGCCAGCGGTGGCCTAGGACGCCTTCTCACTTCCATCCCTCCTGCGCAGACTCGGTTAGCCAGGAGGGTAGTAAAAGGAGTTCATCCCGGTGATCAGGATTAACTTTAAGCACAGTTAGGAGAACCAAGGCCTCTCACAGAGGCTTTATCTGCAGATAAGAGTCCAGCCGAGACATAAACTGGTGGGAGAATTCAGAGCAAGGAATCAAAGCTTACCCGCCCCCGTCGAGTGTTTCAGGAGAAGTGTGAGATTCTGGGTGATCTGGGGAGTTGCTGGGGCCGTTGCTCTACTGTAAATGTGGGGAAGCGTTATAGACACAAACCCACCCCACAGGGTTCGTATGCAGCGCTCTCCTTGAAGATCAGTGAGAACAGCAGAAACTGTCGCTTCAAGACGGGTCTGAGGAGTCCCCAGGGGCTTCCAGGGGCCGTGAGGGGAGGAGGGGCCTTCTCAGGGTAGGGACGGTGGGAGATGCCGCTCAGGGAGTGACCCAGTCTGTCCGGGCCTCTGCAGAAGCCCCAGAGGCAGCTGTCTGAGGAGGAAGGCCCTCGTGTGAACATCAGAGCAGGGAATCTAACGAAAGTGGAGGCTGGACCACTTCTGCCTCTGTCCCCAGGGCGGCTGTGCGCCCGGCTGTGCTGAGCTGGGGCAGGCGGAGGTCCCGCCCGGCTGCTCGGTGCAGAGTGAGTGAGCCCTTAGTTGCATCTCAGGGTACCCTCCCTGTGAGCCCAGGACAGGTGACAGCCGGGAAACAGCAGGGTGTGGGGAGGGTTGCCCCTGGCGCGCTCCTTTGGGTCCTGGCTCTGTTTCTGAGTCGCAGCTTTGCCAGGATGTGTGCTGCCAGGGAGGCACGGAGCCGGCCTGTGTGGGGCGGAGGGGTTGTCAGGGGGCACGATGTCCTGACTGGGGGCCACGGGGCTTCTGACCGAGACGGCCCGAGGCTCAGCCCTCCTGCCGGCGGGAGAGGACGGCGAGAGTGAGCGCTGCGGCTTTTGTCTTCCAGCCGTGAAGTTCGGGCGGATGTCGAAGAAGCAGAGGGACAGCTTGTACGCAGAGGTGCAGAAGCACCGGCTGCAGCAGCAGCAGCGAGACCACCAGCAGCAGCCCGGGGAGGCCGAGCCGCTGACGCCCACCTACAGCATCTCGGCCAACGGGCTCACAGAGCTGCACGAGGACCTCAGCACCTACATGGACGGCCACACCCCCGAGGGCAGCAAGGCCGACGCGGCGGTCAGCAGCTTCTACCTGGACATCCAGCCCTCCCCGGACCAGTCGGGGCTGGACATCAATGGGATCAAACCCGAGCCCATCTGTGACTACACACCAGCATCCGGCTTCTTTCCCTACTGCTCCTTCACCAACGGAGAGACCTCCCCGACCGTGTCCATGGCAGAGCTAGGTAAGCGTGCGCACGCAGCCGCCGAGGCGCCGCCCCCCGCCGCAGAACGGTCAGGTGGCCGGAGCAACGCAAAGCCACTCACCTGGGTCATCCAGGCTACTTTGGGCTCCAGCTGACCTCCTTTATTTTTTAATTTTCTAAATTTTTTGGCACGACTGAGGATTTGAGCCAAGGTCTTTGCACTGAGCTGCATCCCCAGCCCTTTTTCATTTTGGTACAAGGTTTCACTAAGTTGCCCAGGTCAGAATCAAACTCGATCTTCCTGCCTCAGCCTCCCAGAGTGCTGGGCTCGCCCCCTTGCTCTTGACGGGGCACTGTTTCGCGAAGTGTAGCCAGAAAACTCATTTACCCCTCAGCACCACACAGGAGACGGATGAGCGAGGTCGGCCTTTGCGCTCTGCAGAGAATAGCACACGCTGGCGGCTGCATCAGCCTCCTACATCGCTTCCCTTACCTACACTCCAGGTATCGCTTTACACCTGAGGTCACAGCCCCCAAGCTAAACCTGGCAGGTACACAGGTTTTTCTTTCCAGTGTGGAATTTATGAATTATTGAACTGATTGCCAAAATTTAAATTTTGTCTGTTTTTTCAATGACACATAATCATGCATACTTACGGAGGACACTTTTGACGGCTTGATTCATGTTCACAGTGTAAAATCATCAGGAGTACTCAGAGCAACTGTCACTGCACACATCTCTCATTTCCGTGTAGAGAGAATATTCAAACTCCTCACATCACATCTAGTGATTTTTTTTTTTTTTTTT